AATTGATCCGACGGTGTGTAAGTTTTATGATGCCTTTTCGTGAAGTTATGGTTGGGAAATATTTTTGATAAATCTCAAAGTGTGTTAATTAATAATTTAAAATAACAATTTGATAATTTTATAAGGGATATTCAGGAAATTCCACGGTGTACTTATTTATGATTACAATTATGTGTTGTCATCATGACATTCGACTTGGGGAATAGTTGCGGTTAATCTCACGGTATGCTAATTTATGTTAATTGCATACTATATTTCAGGCGGAAGGTCCCTAAAAATCAGTATAAGTCTTAGCAACAGAATTTTGTACATATCAAATGGCAAAAAGTAGTGAGGAACAATGTGGCATATAAAGACTGAACCCTTAGAGCCGGAGATTCAATTTACAAATGAATGCAAAGATAATTGTTCAGCTGAAAATTCTATCTTTCTGTGCATTTAGTGAAATATATAAAAGTGCAACTTAATACCAAAATGCCTAATGCTCTAAAAAAGAAAAAGAAATGGGCGAATGTTAAAAAAGGGCATACTTGTAGTCCAATGCCTTTCATGTCGGTCTTTTTCTGCGCGGCTGTCATGTACATATGCATCTGAATACTATTTTCTAAGATACCATGATGACTGCTTTGCTCCAACTCAATCTGATTAAGCAGCGTTAAGAACCATTCAAAGCTTTTCTGGTCTCTGTTTATCCATATGAAATCAACCTAAAGCAAGAGAAGAGATAAAAAGATGACAATGTCAACAAAAGAACAGAAGACTGCCTGTTTTCTTTGTATGAATATTTTCATTTAAAATATTACTAAATTCAATCATATAAATTATTCCATCGAGTTTAAAGAAATAGAACAAACTGATATGCATGATCGAAAATATTCACAGTACCAGTATTTAAAATCAGCCTTAACGATGATGCCAACAAAGTCAAGGAAAAAGAGAAGTCTGTTGTAACATCACTTAAATGTTTACTATTTTTTCATTCCGAAGAAACAAAAGCAATGGAAAGATAATTATTTCGGGAGCAAATCCTGAAAGGTTTATTTAAAACCTGTTTGTCTCTCACCACTGATTCAGAAATTAGAATGGGATATAATTTGTCATTCACGTACGAAGATATTTGTAATTAATAACGATCCAGGAAAGTCTGTCATGCCGGCAGACCAACCAAATATGTGTTAAAATTGGCGTAAAAATTTAGCTATCTAATCAAACAATCAAACAAACATGTTGACAGACACGTTTACTTACGATAACCAAGAGATTATCTGACTCATGAATTGAAAGTGAAACGAATTGGAGTAAATTTTCAAACCAAATATAAATGGAAACTTTACGTTTATCTGATATACGTTTTAAAGAATTATTGGCAATTTATAGTTACCTACTTAGCAAGTTCAGTAGTGAAATGGTAACATAATTTTATGATAATAAAGATACTCCAGAACAAATGTGGGGTTTTCCCATCTAATCCCAGGGTACAGAGAATAAACGAAACACGTTGATCACTCCTTTTGTTGTAAACGGAAGTGCACCACAAAGCTTAAAAAGTAAATCGAATGTTTGTACCCTGGGATTAGATATAGGCAAATTCCACATTTACGTGTTGCAGATGTATCGAACAGATAAAAGTATTCAAATGCAAATGATGTTGTTTAAAATATCAAAATATCTTAAAATACAAACCTTTTTCAGTTTCATACCAGCCATTTCTTCTTCAGGATACCATATGTGCTCACACTGTGGACATTTCTGCCGGACAGCATTAAATCTGTACCATACACTTTGTAAAATAGACGCCATAGGTGTCACACCAATTCCTGCTCCAACAAGGACGGCATGTTCCGTGTCGAATACCTCACGTGTTCCCGTTCCATATGGACCATCAATGTAACACTAGCAAGTTAAATAAGCATTATTACTCTACTGTGAATGGACGTATATCAATGATGTATTTGTTAATTAAAATGACCATTTTATGCAAACATAATTATGTAATACTAAAAGCGACAACGTTTGAAATGACGTCGCAATTAATAACAAAACTTCAGACCGCTCAAGCCGCTGCTAGAGGGCGTGAGGGATGTTGCATGTTTGTATAATCCCTCATGTACAGACTCAATCAAACCGAGTCTACAATTGTGTTGTTTAAATGTTTCCGAGGGATAATCCTATTCAAGATATTTAAATATGGCAACTTCTGGAGTGGTGAAACAAGTTAGAATCATTATGGTTTTTATATATTATGATGTAAAAATATTACTGTTAATTACTGTAAGAGTATTTTTGGAATTTTATTGAATATCTTTCAGATTATTGTCTTCACAATTACCTTGACGTTTACAAGCTTATGTTTTTGTTTAGTTTTCTGGCCACGTCGTGATGCCCCTCTAGAAGATTTAGAGAGATTCACCGTACGTCTTGAGTATGCCTGTAACAGAAATCTGTAGATATATGATTTATTATAAAGACAAGTTTTAATGAGTGTAGGTTCAATACTGAATTTAACAAACGAGCCTGTGGCGAGCATAATCTTATATAATATCTTAAATACAGTAATGAACCTACACGAATATAATACTAGTATTCTATTTTTATCACTCGCTCAACAAATGTCTGCTGAAATAAAATAACCTTTTTTCCTCAAACGCCCTTGTATTGTAATGCTATCATCTAGTAAGCCTGTACGATTTTTATACAGACACAAATGATATTAATACTTTTTAAAAGTAAATGCTTACAGAAACAGATAGGGTTGTCTAACAAATATGCATTTTTGTACAATCTGAAATCGTTTCAATCGAGAGAATTGTATTTAAATGCATGACACATAAATCTATCTAGGTGACATTCTAACTATGAAATAAATATAACATAAATCTAAAAAAAAAACGTGCTGAATTGGTGGCTCAGAAATCATTTAAAACGAAAGACGTGGGTCACATTAACGCTCTACATAACAGTTGTAATTGTTAAATAAAATCAAAGTACATGAGAAATCTGATCAAAGGTGATTTTCGAATTATAAAAAATAATAACAATATAATTCTAATTCGTACTTGAGCAACAATTTTAATGACATAATTTAATAAAACGTCTTTTATATACAAGCTGGTTTTAAAGGTAACTGCGTTATGTAACACTACTGTACTGATCAGGGAAGTTAACTTGTTTAAATGAATCAATTATAACCTCATCAGTATAGTCTTAAAGTTTGCTTTCAGTATTTTTATGAATCGGCATTCAAAAAATTGTTAACTTCATATTTTTTAATGTTTTTTTTTTATGATTTAATTAATTATCATCGCACTAAATTTTGACGCGTATGCATGTATGTTGTAGTTGTTGGGTTTGTGTTGTAAGTGACGACATATGCAGGTTAAACTGAATGAAAATCCTTAGCCTTCCGGCAGCTACAAAATCTACTCACACAACCAGTGCAGACCAAAATCAGACGGCACGGCACGCCCGTGCAGTTATATCATGGCTTAAACGGTTCACTTTTCAGCCTGTTCCATTTTCTTTAAAAAAATATTTTCAAAGATGAATGGCTTTGACCAAAATGAAAGATGGACAAGTCCATTTTACATATCAAGCGTGGCAACGCGTAAACATTCGTAATAACTATATAGATATAAATAACAAAACAAATCGCACCTAGATTGAAAACAAAATTGTTGATGAAGACAACTAAACAACGAAAAACTTATTGATTTTCTAAAATAAATTGAAGTGAAAAAAAGAAAAAGAAACAAACAAATTAATTGTAAGTTAAGGTGATACAAAGACCTGTTCGGTTTGCTTGATGTAAGAAAATAATAGACGATGAAATTGGTGGACATTTTTCAACAAGTAAGTAACAGTTTAAAACGTTAATTATACCAAACATCCAAGTAAAAGAAAATATCAATAACTTAAATAATAATATACTAGTAGTTAATGTATGTAGAAAGTTAAATTATAAGATGGTGGGTAGATGTCCGTCTTTAAATTTTCTTTTGAAACAATACAAATCAGGATCGAAGATTATAATCTTAGTTTTTTGCTAATCTAAAACACATATGCCAGGTATTTGATCGGTCAGAAATCGGGACAGAATATGCACTGACCAATAAAAATCCTTGTTGGACAAACCTCAGAAAATACGTTAATAAAATATTGAGGGTTGGTCTTCAATGTAAAATAATAGGACATGATCGACTTGATTTATTGTTTAATTTTCTGTTTTTCAAAAGGCTACGAATATACATAAATATGGTTTACGAAAAACAACAGTAAAAGATGAAATGATATCTTTTATAAATGTTATGCTAAGTATATAATGAAAGCGTTTGTGGAAATGTGTACAGAATAATAAGAAAAAAGTTACTACATACCCTTTCAAAATTTTCGAACTTTCTACTTGCTTTCCTTCCTGTAAAAGTGTATGTTATACAGTTATTGGAAAAGCATTATGATAAATAGCTAAATGAAGAGGTGTCGCAAAAATATATCTACTATTAGCTCTCCTTGACAGATAAAACTGGAAAAGAGAATATCAAACGGAATGACAGATAACACAAAAATAAGCGATATATAACACACTTAATTTTCTACAGTTTGTTAGTAAGACAAAATGGGCGGTGTTGCATCTCTTATGCCCCCTATAGCACCGCCTGAAACAGTATTTAATTATCAGCAAAACCAAAGAGAGCATGCAACGGTTTAAATTTTTGTCACTTTCAGTTCTCTGTTGAGATTATTTTTGTTTTTATTTTATATTCACTGTGGTAATAAATCAAAGGGGACAGATTTTTTAAAATGCTTTTTTTTTTTTTTTACATAAACTAGATCTATTACTGTAACTTACTATCATTTAATTTCGCTAAGTCATCTTCTGTATCCGGGGCCTCCATCTCGTCAAAATGTTTGTATAGTTTATTAGTCCAGTGACCAGCTGATCTCACGTGCAACCAGATATAACCTGAAAAAAGTTTGCACATTTGTACTGTTTGGAAAATGTAAGTATATTTTATTAATCATTTATAATCAATATCGATGATATTTTTACAGAGCTGTCCCGGGAATTGTGTAAACTATTCAACAATGTTATTTCTAAATGTGTTCCATCGTCTTAGCATACATTACCATAACTCTATACAAGTTTTGTTTAAAAAAAATGAGTACCGCTCCAGCCGGTGCTGGGGGGGGGGCATGAGGGATGTTGCACCTTTTCATTACCCCTCATGCACAGACTCAATCAAACCGAGTCTGCAGTTTTCATGTAATTTTTTTGTGATTTATTAGCTCGACTATTCGATAAGAATAAGTAGAGCTATTGTAGTCACCCGAGCGTCGGCGTCGGCGTAACCACTTATGTTAAAGTTTTTGATTGTGTTTTGTTTGTTTTGAGTTTAACGTCACATCGACACAGTATAGGTCATATCGCGACGTTTCAGCTTTACTGATGGAGGAAGACCTCAAGGTGCCCTTCCGTGCATTATTTCAGGCACGAACGGGTACCTGAGTAGAACCATCGACGTTCCGTAAGCTAGCTGGATAGCTTCTACACATGAAAGAATCCAAAGTCCCTGTCGGGATTCAAACCCACAGCGGTGAGGGGCAAGTGGTTTGAAGTCAACGACCTTAACCACTCGGCCTAAAGTTTTTGTAATACCTCAAATATTTTCAAAGTCCATTGACATATGGCTTTGAAACTTTGCACACATGTTCACCATCATGACCCCAACCTGTAGACAGGAGGAGGTAACTGTATCAAGTATTTTGACAGAATTATGCCCCTTTTTCGACTTAGAATTTTTGTTAAAGTTTTTGTAATACCTCAAAATATTTTCCAAGTCCATTGACATATGACTTTGAAACTTTGCACGCTTGTTAACCATCATGACCCCAACCTGTAGACAGGAGGAGGTAACTCTATCGAGCATTTTGACAGAATAATGCCCCTTTTTCGACTTTTAATTTTTGTTAAAGCTTTTGTAATACCTCAAATATTGTCAAAGTCCATTGACATATGGCTTTGAAACTTTGCACACTTGTTCACCATCATGACTTCAACTTGTAGACAGGAGAAGGTAACTGTATCAAGCATTTGACAGAATAATGCCCCTTTTTCCACTTACAATTTACATTTAAGTTTGCATACCACCTCAGACATTTTCATATTCTATTGACATCTGGCTTTGAATTTGCCCTTTTGTTAACTTAAAAAATTTTTTAATATCAAGCACTAGGAATAATTGATCGTTGTTGTCCTACCGACAGCTCTTTTGCTTCCGAAGGATCACAGCGACAATATGAAATTTGCAGGATATGAAGGGTGCAAATATATTATCAGATTAATGGTAATGAAAAAAAAAGCTTAAATCTCTATAATTTCAAGAACAATATCAAACTTTATAGAATTGTTTGCTTACAGACTTACTCAGGCATCAAGAATATTGCGGGCTCTCCTAGCTAATACACTTTGATAATTCCAGCTTCGAAAATAAGCGTAAAAGGTTAATACAAATATTGTTAACGGTTGTAGGAAGAAAATGTGTAAGCAGCTTCGTAACTTGGTCAGTAGAGCTACGAAACTGTATTCTGAGGGTCCCGGTTTGAACCCCTGTTCGACTTGACTACCTCTAACAATTTACGGATTCACTAGTATCAAAAACGAAGAAAAATTAACACGTTACCTTCCATTTCAGGAGCTGAACTTATGGTAAACGGATGCCACTCGTAGGCTGCTATATCGGGAATTTGAATAAATATATAATCACCCGGTTGATACCGGAAATTAATTGGCCGAGTAATGACGAGATGAGTAACCTGTAAAAAAGAAGGTAATGATAGCCTTTTATATACATGTATACCTGATTTTGATATGGATGAAACTATTGATATATTCCAACAGTGTTGTTTTCTTGAAAAAGATTATACATGTATTGCAAAACCATTTATATCGGAAGGCGGCCTATAGCTTTTCTAAAGGTTGAATGTGTTATTTTGTATAGCTTTTCTAAAGGTTGAATGTGTTATTTTTCCTACAATTGTAAAATAAAAAGAATGAAGATAGAAAGAATGAAATTTGGTGACGATTAAATACATAAACAACAAGGATAACCCTCGATACCTCTCTATGTTTAGTAAAGTCCGGTGTGCTACATTTAGAAACAAACGGTATAAATAGCTCTCAAACGCTGTTTAGAATCGTTGTTTCTTTATAAGACAGGATAGCTACTCACATATATTTAACAATCTACTTTCCTCTTGAATATGTATGTGTGATTAATATGTAAAACATCTACATGAATAAAGACTACTGCAAACAATATACATGTAAGTACTTGTGTTTTCTAAAGTTTTGCTTATATTCATATACTACATTTATTGTCAAGATATACTTATTACATTGTTGATGCATTTCAAAAAGGGGCCTACGTGGCCCATTCGTTAATGTCTGCGACTTCAATCACTTATTCCTCGTCGCTGTTGGCTCGAATCCCGTGTTGGAATTGGGACTCGCTCATGCGAGGAAGCTATCAAGAAAGCTATTGGAAAGTGGGAGATTATTCTCAGGTACCTGCTCTTGCTTGTAATAATGCACAGTCTTCCTCTAGAAATAAAGCAGGAAAGTCACGATATGACCTTAAAGATTATTCGGCGTGACTTGAAATTTAATAAGATCAACGTTCAGCGTTTCAATGGCGTATCAAATTAAAGAAAATTCCAAAATAAGTAAAACTTACGCCAGAGGGAAGCAGATTAACTTCCTCTATGAATGTTTCCCCAAATCTCGCCATCTTAATGAACTTTGACCTGGAAATCTTCTCCATAATAAAGAGTACTCCAGGAACAATAAACCATTTCCAGAAATGTGGGCCGTGAAGAAGAACGAGGATCCAGAATACCACGTACAACATGTGTGTCCAATAAAACACCTGGGTGAAATTTATTTAATATCAGTTATACATACATGTATATGTCTAATGAAGGTCCTAATAACAATTTGGTTTAAACGATATTCATTTCTTCTTCCATATTTACAAACAAAATTACAATGCATAAAATGCATTCAGGATTGAGTAAAAAGCTTAAAGCTTATATAAAACTCTCTCCTGTAAAATCACTTTATACGTTTGCCTCCAAAAATAAAGTCCTAAAATCATAGCCTTTAAAATCAGGTCTACATATTCCTCCATATAAGGTCCTAAAATCACTTTATCTAAAATCGATTCTGCATTTACATAAAAAAAATCAAATTAAGACCTTAAATCTATTTACTTTAACTATATATGCTCCTAATTATCAATTTATCTAAACTCAATTTTATGATTGCCACCTTTTAAAATCCTAAAATGAATCTTTTTACACCAAATCCTCGTATGTTTAAAAATATAATTACTCAAATCAAAACTTTTTTAATTTGATTTTTACATTATAAGTAAAACAAAATACATATCATCAATTCCAAACCGTTTAAAGTAATGACTCCGATTCAAAACTATCTTATATTTTAAAGCGCATTAAAAGACCGAACAATATTAAGTATGTGAAAACAGAAGATACTGTAATTTTAACAAGGTTAGCTTTTAAAAAAGCTAGTAGCGACTCGCTTCGTAATTTTTTTCCAGGGGTGCATTTAAATGTAAAAATGACAGTTCTGTTAGCTGAAGAGACTTCAGGGAACATCAAAATAAAAGTGACATAAAGTTATGGAAGCCAGTTTCACTCAGTTGAACAAAGAGGAATATGAGTATATATTAAGATGCATGTAAACAGATAGAATAAAGTCCCTATGTCTATGCACATTTACTATATGGCCTTTTGACCTTGACCAAATAAAGATTAGATAGGTAGAATTCATAAAGATGTCTCTTTATACGAAGTTAAGTTGTAATATGATATTTAGTATTGGAATGAGTGACAAACACAAGTCCTAAAGTAAACACAAGTTGTCAATTAATTCAGCCAGAAAAGCCGGGATCCTATTAAAAATATAGGGATCCCGGGAACTAACCAGTCTTAGATGCTTTTCAGATAAGCCGGGATCCTATTAAAACATATAGGGATCCCGGGAATTGACCAGTTCAAGAATATAGTTTTCAGAAAAGCCGGGATCGTATTAAAGTCTAAAGAGATCCAAGGAATTGGCCAGTTCAAGAATAGTTTTCAGAAAAGCTGGGATTGCATTAAAACATAAAGGGATCCCGGGATTTGACCAATTCAAGAATGTAGTCTTTGATTTTTCCAATTAATTAGGCATATAATTATAAGTATTGTGATTTTTAAGTTTGTTGATAAATAGCTCTAAATATATTTATATCCAAAGTTTAATTAATTTAACGTTCATTACATACAATAAAAAACTTAACGTTTAATGGCCTTTCATTACGACAATAATCAACACAAATATAGTTTATAAGTTTTTCCTCTATATCTTATACGATCCCGGATCCCGGCCAGTCCGGGTGTCCCGGATCCCGGCCAGTAAATATATATACACTAAATAACAGAAAGGATAAAATGACCGGAAAAAAGGAAAAAGAAAAAAATGCACAGAACCAGGTGTACACTTATGTTAATTAACCAAACGAAAACTTACTACAGAGGAACAGGTGAAATCGCTAAATCAAAAGTCAGTGTTAATATGATTTATTGAAAAGAATTCATGAAAACAAACATTTTTAATCATCATAATATCTTTGCGCTCAAAACAATACTTGCTGCTTTTTAAATATGGCGTGAAAATTGGAGGTTTTTTGACGCTTTGTAAGATTAAATTTGATTGGCTAAATAATTTTGGATCCTAGCCCAGATAGATAATTTTTTATAGAAAGCTGGAAGCCAAGCTTCGATTAAATTTTTGGATGGATTCGGAGTTTTAGGTCGTTTCTCAGTAAAATCCTAACGTAATACCGGCTCGCCGTGGCGAGCCGGCATAATATTGTTTTGTTAGCTGACAAACGTTACACATCATTTTACTAAATCAGAGTTTGAGAATGTGTTAATTGCCAAACATTTAATAAAAAATCTTTGACGAAATTATGCAGCTGAGTTGCATTATTATTCTTACAGTACTGGTCTCTTTTTCAGATAAAAACTTGAAGGGAGACAACTCTTTTAAGGATGTCAATTTTGTGCTACCCAGTTGCTGCCCTTTTATTCAGCCAATAGTTCATAAGAACATTTATAAGTGACAGAGTATAAGCTTTTATTTATTTATTTATTTATTTATTTATTTATTTATTTATTTATTATTTCAAAACCTGCAACAAAACGAAACATAGTGCGTTGAAAATATACTTATATCTTTTATGACATTTTTATTAATTTTATGACTAGAAAATAAGCACCTGAAAATGTCCACCACGCCGGACGAACTCCATGGAACATATTACCATTATAACAAGCACAATGTCCAGCAGCCAGCCTGTTATAAATGCACTACCACCAACAAATCCCACGCCAGCTTTGGCGGTGAACAATACCTCCCACATTTCTAAAGCTGCTGCATTGGCCGCGTGAGCTAAAACAACAACAACAAAAATAAAAAATAAAAAAAGCAACATGAAACTCGTTTATAAATATATAATTGATTTTAGTGCGAATGTGCAGTGAAGCTATAATCTGGCCCTGAAAACAACCAGTCCAAGCCATGAGTGTGACGTTTCTTGTTCAAGGGAACAGCGGCTTGGCCAGGACGGGGTTTCAACCCATCCGACTTGCCACCCTTAAGCATGCATTAACAGCTCGGCCGTGTCGGCACCAAATACACGCACCTTTGTTATATATATTTGATTTAATGGACAAACTAGAGTTATGCAATGTTTAGTACACGATAAGTTTATTACATACTGATACCATAAATGATAATGAAATCATTTTGGAAAAAAAACAACGCCCATTCAAATTAACGGGCATTTATTCAAAGACATATTATATTACATCTGACGTAAGAAATGACATGACGTAATATCAATTTATTCCACAAATACATATAACATGCACAAAAGAACCAAACTTCTAAAATCACACCGCATAAAGCTTGTTTGTGGAATAAGACTTGATAACATAACGTTTAAAATGTTATCAAATAATGCAAAAATTAAATTAAATTCAGCAAATATACTAAAAGCCGATCCAAATAAAAGCCGGCTCAGTTATTTTTGTCGGACACTTACCAGCATTACCGATGTGGGCTATAGTGTGTACAAGCGCCATGAATGCGATAGTCCACGCTGTCATTTTATGGAACAGTATATTCTGATCTAGAGGAAGTATATGCACGAGTTTTGTCATTCTGAGAAATGTTAGACTCTTCCGTAACATCAGCACGAGTACCCACATACAGTTGAAGTTGAGGCATAATCCAGCGCCACGTGCGAACTGTAAATCACGTGACATGAAGATTGTTAGCAGTATAACACATACATTAACTTTTAAAGATGGACTTAGCTGACAAATAATTATGTAAATTTTTCGTCTTAAAGATAACTTGTTAAAGTGTGTAAAGAAACAAACATTCTCATATTCTCATGATTTAGAATGGTTCTGATTTTTAAAAAAAAAAACAACAAAAAAACGTACATGTAATTATGTGTACACTACCCCAGTCGCACCCCCCCCCCCCTCCCCAACAACGGAAAAAAGAGAGGTGCCAATGATGAACCTTACATTATAACTTGTTTGTTTTTCTGTACCTTTACTACAATTTTAACACATTTTTGGACAAATTACGGCGGCCACGTCACCAAACCGGCTTGCCTTGGAAGCAAACCAATTTCTTTGCAGGGAACAACTACAAATTACACATGATTTCTGGATCAACGTTGAGAGCCGAATGACTATTAGACTCAATGGCCGGAGCCTGGTTTAATAATCCGACTAAACCGATCTATTTCTGTACTCTTGTACTTTTTAATTTGTACTTTGATTGCACTTTGGGGATCTCCTTATTTTAAAACTTTAATATTAACAGCCGATTATATAAACCCCGCATAGTATCGTAAATGAACTTTTACTTCTTTCGATCTATATAACACTCATAATTTTAAAGAAAAATCTAAGGATATGTATCGACTAAATAGGATATGCCGGCTGATCTTGGTCTGCACTGGTCGCATGGGTGAAATATTCAGTCCAGTGCATTTGTTAACCCCTAAATATTATCTCCTATGAACAACTGCATTAAAGAACGAGTCTTCAATTTTCACTTTTAAGACACTGCGTTATCTTTTTAAAGAAAAAATATTAAATAATACTTAATAAACTACTTAAAGTCCTCTACATAATTTACTAACCATAATCCACGTATTTGATTCTCTGTACTGCCACATGGCGACCGCATACAAGACAATATTAAGCGCCCAGTAGATTAAAAAGTAACCAACTTTTTTATAATTGTTCCTCCAGTAATCAGCCGTAAAATGCCGGAAACCACTTTTCTTCTTCTTGGAGCCATCTGGTGGTTTCAACCATTGGGCGGCACTGGGAGAAGATAAAAACAAATATGATATACCGGTATAGTTATTATAGTGGGAAAGTTTATTACAGATCTATCATTGACATTTTATTTTATAATGGCAAGAACTATCCCTTACATTTCATAGAACTTTCCTTACAATTATATTTTAGAATGACACAAACTATACTTTACAAATTTATTTTAGAATTGCCAATAAGATTCCTGGATTTGAGTTTGTGATTTTAAAATGACTAATGAAAATCATTCTTTTATTTAGTCCTTTCCTGTGAATTTTACCATCTGATTTTAGATGGCCTTCTGCCAAAAAATGCACAACTATTTATCATATACATGTATTTACCTGATAGTGAGATTTTCTATAACGCCCGGATGTTTTTCCAACTCTGTTCTCAGCTCGTCAAAAGTTATCGTTCCTGATTCATCTTCGTCTGCCGCATCAAACAAAGCGTCTGTGAGATCCTCTAAGTTCTCGTCTGTCAACGAGAGTGAACTTTCCTCCATACAAGCCCGTAGAACTGCTGTCAGCTCATCCCTGTCGATACATCCGCTCGCTGGAGTAAATCAACTTTTAGTATTTGACTGGTACTCTGATAATTTTTATAAATGATTAGATCGTCAGCCATTTTGAATGGGAACCAGATAATACATTCGGGGATTGCAATAGTCTGGTTCCATGCTTACTTTACTGCGGGAACATAGTGTTTGCGGGGTGATAAGAGAGGGAGAGGGGCGGATGTGGACATCCTAACCTATATTATTGTAAAATATTTGAGGTTCGAGAAGAAAATAACACGCTATCTCATACATTGCAGATATAAGCATGGCCAATATGTTCTAAATAGCTATGAGAGTTCATGTACTTCCAATGAAGTGGAAAAGGGATATAAAAATCGGTAAAGTGAATCTGGATGTTTAAGGACTCAATGTAGATACTTCATAAAAGTTAATAATTACAGCTAATTATGAAATGCTATTTTAAATGATGAAAACGACGAAGAGTTGGCCATAATCGTTTCAAAATAAAAACAATCTTCTGATCAAATTATAATTTGTGACTAGTAAGCAAATATGCACCTGTATTCTAGAGCAAACTATGATAGTCAAATGATACTATTTTGTTAAGTACAATATTGTTGATAATATTGTTAGCATAAAATGCTGTAACGCATGTATTGAAGACAATATTGTAATAATTAGCCTTTTTATGAAATGCAAAACTTATATGAATGAATGAATAAATAAATACATAAATAAATAAATTAATCAATTAATTAATTAATTAATTAACTAATTAATTAATTAATAAATAAATTAATTAATTAATTGATTTTAACTTACCATCAGCATCGTAGACATCAAATAGAAATTGAAGTTTTTGAGCGGGTGTTCCTTTAGTGAGCATGCGCAGACCGTCCATAAGTTCTCCCAGCTCGATGGTACCGCTACAGTCCTGGTCAAATAACTCAAAGAATCGCTCGGCGAAGAAAGACTAAATGTAAAAAGAATAACTTTTTGTATCATTCTTGTAAATCAAAACTTGACCATATGAATGAAGAGCACTTATAAAGTTTATTTGACTATAACTTTAGATTCCTAAACAATGCAGCACTATTTGGAAGCTGGCAATTAAATTAGCTACTATGAATTTTGTGTGCATTAGTACACAAAGACACCATTCTCACTCACTTCCATGGACATACCTTGAACATGCTATGATTTTATTTTGCATACTTTATTACAGGTAAGTTTAATAGAATCAAAGATATCTGTATTATATACATGAAGGAGACATTGCAATTTAATTTTAAAAATTTAAAAGTTTATCCCTGTTTTTTTGTTGGTTTTTTGTTTGTTTGTTTGTTGTTGTTTTTTTTTTTGTTTTTTTTGTTGTTTTTTTTTTTTGGTGTTTTTTTTTTTAAATGTCAGACCAACATATTCTGCAAGTTTTCCCTTTTCAGTATTTCAAATATTGAGTCAATAACGTTCATTGCAGTTTGCGAACCTTATGAGTCATTACAATATACAAGCATATCGGTGTACTCGGATTAGATTCCTCCACCTTAAAAGTGCACTATAACCTCAACATAGTGACCCTTGGTCTTTCCGTACGCTCATATTTCCTTACATGTTAATCTTAATTATTAAACTCCGATATATATATATTCAATCATACCTTTCCTTACATTCTTCCTTTCTTTTAGCATTTCACCATAATTTACTTTAGATTTTCTATAGTGATAATTCAACAATATATTATTCTCTTCTTCTTTGTTGTACATTCAAAGAGCTTACATCTAACCGCAACATTTTTGTATCTTTATCTTGAAAATTAATTTTACTGGAGAGGAATTGATATAAGTATTGTTTTACTTGTTTTCCAATCCAGTCTGAATTACATTGTTGTGCAATGTTTGTAAATGTCATTTATGTACAATTTATTGAATAAATAAAGTTTAAACTAAACTAACATAGCGACCCTCTATAGAAATATAACCTCTCTACAAGCAAAGTATCAGAGTTTTTTTCTCTTCTCTTTTTTTTTTCAAAAGTATTACTTCACAAAAAGGTATCCACTGTTTACTCAGCAACATCCAAAATTTTGTTCCTCATAGGGTGTGACCCTGCAGAGGTTGTTATCCTGTTGTATGTTTGATATTAATTTATTGAATCCCTTTTGTACATCCCTACCATAAGAATCACTGGAGAGATCTTATAGATTCTGGTGTTCATACCAATAGTTACCTCTTTGCAAAAGAGCTTATATTTAAGTATCTTAAAGATATACTATGCTCATTCTTGAATAAAATACTATCGAAATAATTTATTGAAAATTATGAAATTCTTACTGAATAAAACTAATTTGAATAAAAAACTATACAAACTTTGTTTTTGAAAGATATGTTCCCTATTATTGATCAAGTATAGATGGCCCTTTCTTATAAAAAAAAAAAGAACAATGACACTATACATTCATATTGTGTCCACCTACAGTGTGTAGAATTTAAAACATAACATATTTTTTTGTGTGAACTCAAAACACGTATATATTTATGTGTAAAAAGTACTATGTAGCAATCATGAATATTTTCATATTTTGAGCACAGTATACTTTAAGTACTTTGATACTTCTCATTTGCACACAGTGTATTTATTTATTTATTTATTTATTTATTTATTTATTTATTTATTTATTTATTTACTTATTTATTTTTACCTTCTTGACACCGAGGGCTTTCTTAAATTCTCCAAGATCAATCTGGCCATCATCTCCCGCAATGTCCTTGAACTTTACTTCAATCCAGGCTAGCCATTTTGTATCCTCATCACTAATAAATGCATCACACCAAACAATTAAATACATACTAATAATTAGTAGAAATTGGTTTTTGCATTGAATATCATTATGGCAAACAGTAAATAAAGAAAAATAAATAAACAAACTAAAAACATGTAAACTCCAAAAGAAATAATGCAGTTGTTAAATGAAAAATAAAGCACAAACTAAAAACATATAAATTTCAAAAAAAAGTATGAAGTTGTCAACATAAAACATAAAAATATATAATTAAAACTAAAATTTAAACTTTTAAAATGAATTTAAAATCAATACATACATGAAATTATGGAAAGTTTATAATTGCTTTGGCGAAAAGAAGACATGAAGTTAAAAAAAAGAAGTTCTTTATACTTTAAGAGCACGTCCCAAGATGTAAGCTTTTTTCATGGAAATTTAAAAAAGGTTACCTATAGATGTGTAAAGAATATTCAAAATTATCGGAGCGGTTACTTCCCTTGATCAATACACAAAAACAACTAAACTTTATTTTATTTACTCCTTTATATATTTAACAAATTCAGATTTATTTTATTTAATAATCATGCAAGAGATTAAAACATAATTAAGTAAAAAATAATAAAAAACTGAATGGACCGCCATTTTTGGTAACATGATACACCCATCGTCACGTGAGCTATGGTGGTGACAGTTGCATGCCGTAGCGCGGAATTTAAAGTTGATAGACAACGCAAAAAAAACAACAGTTATTTAGAATCCACTTATACATAATAACCTATATTTTGTAATTACAAATGTAAAATACACAAATCAACCCCTTATTTCTCAAGTAACATAGTAGAAAAACGGTGACAAATATCGTTTAAAGTTTATAATCATTTGTAAATATTTCTATACGAGTCTTAAGACATCAAATATGTTTTTAAGAATGAGTTTTGACGCGTGGTTTGCTTATCTTGGGGAGTGCACTTTAAGCTTTGTTAGTACATTAATTGAAAACATACGAGAACTCCATGCAGCATACAAAAACACAGCACACCGGTTGAGTTTATAATGTAAGTAACAAGCAATACAGCATAAGATAAATAATGTTCATGTAAGATAGATTAAATATATTATTTTAACCTGTAACCTGGTCCAATGCCGAAGTGGCTTTGTCCATTTTTCAGTTTTTAGAACTTGTGGTGATATCAAGATTAGAAGTTAGTATGTGAAAAGAACATAGCATGGGTATCAGCGCGGCTATCGTATGATGGTAAAGACTTGCCGCTTTGTGGTTCGAACAGGTTACCGGTTAATGCACGATACATTGCAAACTATGGTGGCTAATTTGTGTCATGTCGTATTTTCGTTCCGCGAGCTGACAGGCGAAAACACAAAATACGTCATGTTGTCGTATTTTTTTGCTTTCGGCTCTTAAGCCCCGCGGAGCGGAGGTAAAAGAAATTGGTCGCATTGTCGTTCTGTATTTCCGTGCTTTCTTCTGGCATCCCGAATTGCAAGAAATACGAGATGGCACAAATTAGCCACCATTGAAAACAGATATGAGGATATTATTTCAATTTAAACGTAATTGTTAGAAGTTCATAGTCAATCAAATAATTAGAGAATGATTAAAGTATTTCAAGAAAAGAACATGTTTACATTGTAAAAACTCGACTAATGTTGCAGTAAAACTGTGGTACAAACATTAACGTGAAAGATTTCTGTTTAAAAAAATAATTTTCGTAGTGGAATAACAACGATTCTCTATTTGTAAAGGCATTTTATTTTGTTATACAATTCATACTAGTCTTTTTAATTATTAAACCATACTTTTGATTTGTTATACAAAAATAAAAAAAAACTTCTAGCATTAAACCATAGGTGAATGTATCGAAAGATGATATATATGTACAGATAAAATAAAAATGCGACCCTTCTACCTGAAGCTCCCTCTCACCGAAACCGCACACAAACCAACCCCCAAATAAGAATAAGTAAAAACATACCAAATACGCGCTTAATTTGAAAGGTTGTGCTTTATTTTATTTATTTCGTGATGTAAATTGTCGAAATATAAAGTATAAATTAGGAAAAAGAACAGAATATAACATAACATTTTTGCGTGGTGTATATTCTGTATTTATTATTAAGTCATTTGTAACACATATATGTCATAAATGAAGATTTAATGTAACAACCTTACACATGCATTCAACTTTGGAAAATGAAAAAAGTAAATAATACTTCTTTGTGTCAATTTTATTCATATATTGTCGGATATTATTTAAATTCATTATTTTCAGATGATATGAGCCGCGTCATGACAAAACCAACATAATGGGTTTGCGACAAGCATGGATCCAAACCAGCCTGCACATCCGCGCAGTCTGATCACGATCCATGCTGTTCGCTATCAGTTTCTCTACTTGTTATAGGGTTTGTAAGCGAACAGCATGAATCCTGATCAGACTGCGCGGATGCGCAGGCTGGTCTGGATCCATGCTGGTCGCAAACCCATTATGTTGGTTTTGTCGTGACGCTGCTCATATAACTTTAAAGTTACCATATTTGTCACGACGTGGTTGTGGTACGTTAAATAACTTATTGAACTCCTTTCTCAGTCTTAGTGTTATTAAAAAGCCTATTAAGTTGTTGATAAAATGAATTATTGACAGGTATAGAGTAGGCGTAATCTTAATTCCTTTCAGAATTTCAATATTTATTTAACGGATTGGCTTTTAACAGCAACAAAAACAAATTAATATAGGTCGTATATTATGACAATTTAACATAAAGCATTACCATATTGAAAGGTTGTATAATATTGAATGAAGTCGAATTAAGACACGTATGTGTATTTTTATGCCCCCCCCCCAAAAAAAAAAAGATGAAGAAAAAAAAGAAAAATTAAGAATCAATTGCTTTATTCCAATCATTATTCCTACTATGAATTCCTAATAGTATTCCCTTCTATTAAAATGCATAACTTTAGAGTGTATACTTATAAGAAAATGCATTACTTAAGTTTGTACACTAATTTCAACATTTTAACATGTTACATGTATTGTAATTTAGCGACAATGTTGATGTCTTTCCTGGCTATACACAAGTCCACACAAATCCTATTAACAGGATTGAACGTTGCTGGTTATATGGTTGAAAAAAAGAAGTTCGTTTTGTCTGAATATCTGATATATTTAACATATATGTTATATGGTTGAACCGTGCGATACACATAAAACATGGGGTCATTTTGTCCAGATTTCGAATGAACTTAACATATCGGTTATATGGTTAAACCGTACGATATACACAAAAAACAATATTATCTTATTTTATCCGAATATCAAATGTATTGAACATATCCGAATATGAGGCATGCAAATAGCAACAGTATTATAATATTAAAAATAAGGTTTGAATATATATAAATAGAATTAGATATAGATTTTTTGTCTTATCCTACTATTAGGCAAGTAGAGAAATTACCAAATAATTGAATTTTAATAAAGTAATGAGTGTCATGAAGTTATTCTACATTTTCAATTACAATACTAAAATCTATTGGGCGAATACAAAAAACTGTAAAACCAATGCTGGACGAGGCACTAGCCGAGTCCGATATGTTATAGGTTTTGCAGCTGTATGTACGAGTCCAATATAATTGGTATTGTACCCAACAATGTATAATGACCTCTTTATTTCACACCATCGACTTTTAAGTAATTTATAGAACTTTGATATTTCGAGTACAATATTCAATTGATATGTATTTTTGGACTCGGTAAATAAAAAACGAGATAAGACAAAGTACACTATGGATTTGATATGCAAGTTTTGGACTTGAAAAATGGAATCGATGATAAATTGATAATTTTGGATACAATGATTTATACCGGCAGATCACATGATGCAAATTTTTTGTTTAATTAGTTACACTGGTGTGAAATAAATACATCTATCTTATCCATGTATAAAGGCAAGAATAGAATTATAGAAGTAGCATAGTATAAAAGTCTAAAGAAAATGTGAGTACGTATTTTAATCTTATCCGATTAATTATGAAAGTTGTTGATCTACATAGAACAATAAGAAGAATGATAATTTGAACCTACTTCCAGTCGTTCATACTGAAGAAAGACTGTACCTTTGGTCTCGTTATGTCATTACTGACGAATAGATAAATAAAAATGGTTTGTTTATAGAACTGTTCAGTTTTTAGAGTTAATATAATTGGTCGTGAAGTATAAAGGGGAATAAAAATGATCTGGCAATATAAGGGGAACATTTTTTTTCTTCTTTTTTTCGCAGACGATCAGTATAAAACACAATAAGTGAAGAAACATTTCTACATTTCAATAGACATTGGTATAAAGAATACGAAATCCTTAAAGTACGCCGCCAAGAACGACAAAATTAATACAAAAATGCTGTAGGGTCGGTTTGTTTGGCCTTGTTTACATACAGTATTGGCAATTAAAAGATACAATTACCGAACACGCGCCCTAGCACCGGTACACCCCTAGCATTGGCTTAAATAGAAATCAATCATCAAACATCATAAAAGTTTAATTGAGAATTGATACATCCCAACACATACAAAGTATACGTATTATGCCTGCGAACAAAAAAATAAAGAAGCAGCTTTTCCATGTACGTGTATTCAAATCTACCCCTATATGGTATAGAAATGATATTATGAATAAGTGGATACCAGCCATATATCGCTAAACTCACCCTAGCCTTTTATATTTCTATTTATATTTATTCGTTGTTTTTTTTGTTGTTTTTTTTTTCAAAGAATATCTTGTCACATTTCAAAGTTATAAGAACATAAGCAATAAAATAATAGCGAGAAATAAATTAAGCAAAAACGCAAAGGGAATATATACAAAGTAGGTTCAGCAAAATTATGTTTTATACACATTGAAAGCACAACCAACATGGTATTATTTACACAAAAAAGAGAGAAAAAAAACACTGTTTGTATAGCAAAACTGTTAACAAACAAACAATATGTCCCTGTTTAAATGTATTTACTAGATGACTTACAAGAAAAAGCAAGTTAAGCGGAACACTTAAAATGGCGCTCTTAAATAATTCCAGAATGAATAAGAATGAAAAGTAGGGGAAAGCATTATTCGTTTAATGCTGAATTAAAATATAGTATATACAGGATATTGAATGAGTGTAAGTTCAATACTGGATTTATTGGACGAGTCATTTATAATAATATTTTGTGAGCCTCTTGCGAGCATAATATTATTTTTTTTAACGAGTTCAATCAATTCAGTAATAAACCTACACGAATATAATATTCTGCTTATCACATACCCAAACATAAAGACTTTTTAAAGTGAAAAATAATCATTTTTTCATTGACGCGCCTATAGTCTATCGCTGACATATAGCGCATCTTTACGCTATGTTTGTAAAGCGCAAACGGTAGTGCAATATCGTTTTTACGGAGTCGCAAAAGCGGCATGGGTGTGTGATAAATGTCAATATGAAAGTAGAAGCTTTTTTTCTATTATAGAATCACAGTATCATAAAGGAGCGTAGCATGACAAAACAAGCATACGTCCACACTGGGAGGCTGGTAACTCTACGACTCTGGCAGGGCGATCTCGGCCGTAGACAGGGTTCTTTTACAGATAGACTATAAAATATAATAATAACATTCTTGAGCAAATTTATCGACTATTGACTTTTGTCTTTAACATAAAGACTAAACATTTATAAAGTGCTTTACACATTCATTGCATGTTTCATGCAATAAAATTATTTCATTTGAGTTTCAATAATAATAATAACATTCTTGAGCAAATTTATTGACGCTTGACAAGTTTCATTTAAGAACTTTAAACATTATAAAGTATAAGTAACACGTGCTTAAAGGTACAATATTCCTCGGAAACATATAACTATTTTCTTCTTTAGCAAAGGCAAGCCACAGTTTATAAAGTTTAAATAAATTTGGGATGCTAATCACCTGAAGAAAGTAACGATAAATGTGAAAATTGTTGTTGGAAAGGTAGTTAAATATCAACAAAGTAGTATTTTTGACGTTCATACAAAGTACGTACATGTAATTCAAATAATTTAAAGGTCCTAACTGCCAAAAGGCGACAAAGCAAAAGGGGTTCGGGTTGTTGGCCAAAGCCAGTGAGGAAACTATGAAAGGACATAAAAAGAATAAATAATAAAAATCAAGTAAATAATAATATAAATAAAAAGTTAAAAAAAAAACAAAAAAACATTGCTTGGGCATAATGGGCCTATAGTATGGGAATATAAATTATAGATTTATCTATGTAATTGTGGGGTAACACTACATTAATCCATTATCTGTTGAAGCTGGCAATTAGCCTTTGCCGCCCATTTAAAGTCAACCTTTCTGCACATACATGAATTTGGACCAGCTATTATTGACAATTTATTATCTTGTTTGTGTTTGGATATAAACATCCCTAAAACATTAAATGGATTGATCCAAATTCAACAGGCTGGGCGAACCCATTACACAAAATTAGCAGGTTCAAGTGCAATTCATTATTTCCCACGCTCTTTAGTCAATTAAAATAAAATTTAATTAAAACAACCTTTTTTAATATAAATCTTTATCACTTTTATAAATCTTATTGCATTGATCTAAAGTGCATTATGAATTCAGAAAAAAATCAAAACGTCAACGTTTTGGTGTCCCATCGTCTCCATACAATTTACCTTTTGCTTTCTTCTTTATGCGCACGTAGTTGTAATACATATATTTCTTAAGTGATCTTGTAAAACAACGATACTTCCGTTGCCTACTTTTAGTAAGTTTTGTGCAACAAAGCTTAAAAACCCACCCACTAATAAAATAAAACATCGTGTGGCGCAATAATTATACTACTACTACTACTACTAATAATAATAATAATAATAATAATATTAATAATAAAAATTAATAATAATAATAATAATAATAATAATAATAATAATAATAATAATAATAAAAATATTAATAATAATAATAATTATTATTATTATTATTATTATTATTATTATTATAATTATTATTATTATTATTATTATCATCATAATAATAATAATTATTATTATTATTATTCATATTATTATTATAATTATTATAATAATAATAATAATAATAATATTATTATTATTATTATTCATATTATCATTATTATTATTATTATTATTATTATTATAATAATTATTATTATTATTATTATTATTATTCATTATTAATAATAATAATAATAATAATAATCGCCATCTACTTAATGATATAAAATCTGCAGGATATGACGTAAATATATGTAGTGAGTATATATCGTTTTTCTCTAATATTACCTACATTTGTTTATATGTAATTATATTTATTATATATATCTACGAGAGAAGATTCGACAGACGAGTGGATTTTCGTACAAATTGTTATATTGTCACAAATGTGATTCCATACCATGTGGTTATAGAAAAATTCGTTAATTACGTGGAAATAAGAAATTACCAGACATTTGACAATTGACAGTACGATCTATTTATATCAAAACAGACAACAACAACAACAACAAAATCATTCGGCCTGTCAAATCCTCGCTTGGTTTTATCAACCAAACGGTATGTATTACCTTAACATATATCACATATAAAAATGTATGCACAATGTATGTATACTCGCTCCCCCCTCCTCAAAAAATGGCAATCCATGACATGATTGTATAGAACGCAAGGGGCAGGACGTGAAGTGGTTGCACACTTGGTTCAAGCGAGCGAATTGGTTGCAAACTTGACAAAATGGCAAACACGGCATGATTTTTTAAGCGGGTGAACGAATTTTTGCCAGGCAAGTGGGTTTCTTTGTTATTTTGAAGTTCATTAGTATGTCTATTCCATAATGCAATATATATACCACACTCGGTTTAAGGTTTCAGCATCCTAGATTCTGACATTGACAAATGTGGTTAAACAATATATTTTTGTGTATTGAATGTTATCTTCGGACTTGCGAACTAAACCATTTGTACAGCATTGACAGAAACACATTTTGTTATTGTTAAATGCAGTTCAAAACTTACAAATTCGAATAAATTAGGAAAAAACCGACCAGAACAGTCACATGTCAAATTTCAAAATATCTACATGATCAGTTTATATCTTCAATAACTTCGTCAAAACAGAATCTAGGATGCTGAAACCTTTAACCGAGTGTGGCATATATATTGCATTATGGAATAGACATACTAATGAACTTCAAAATAACAAAGAAACCTACTTGCCTGGCAAAAATTCGTTCACCCGTTTCAAAAAATCACGCCGTGTTTGCCATTTTGTCAAGTTTGCAACCAATGCGCTCGTTTGAACCAAGTGTGCAACCACTTCACGTCCTGCCCCTTGGAACGGATACGTCATCCTTACTTCTGACGTTATGTCATTTTAATCTTATGACGTCAGAGATTAATCAGGCATAGCTTTCTGTGTGCTTTGTGATTTTACCATAACAAATGGTGTTGAATGTTGACAATTGTGAGTGTTTATCTAGTGACCATGTGTTGCTATTATAAGACTATTAATCTACGCTTTTCAAATAATATCAATTATAAAAAACAAACAAAAAAATGAAGCTTAAAACTATAACTATCTATAACGCAGTGATCGATTTATGTGCACATGTGATTTATAAGCCTTGATGTGATTGTTGAACTATCAAAAATGTGCATTTAGATCTAAACTAATTGCGTTCATATAATTTAATTAAGTAACTTAATAACTACTCGTGACACATATATAAATTAGTTGTTGTAATTGCTCGTTTCGTACTCAATCTATCGACAATTCGTTAAAGTCCGCTCTTTTTCGGTACCTTCCGGTTCTTTTTAATACTCATTTTTTCCTAGCATCTTTTGGACCAGGACGTCAAATTTAACGCTTAAGTTGAACGCTTTTTTAGCTATTACTACGCAAATTAAAAATAAACACAACTTATTTTTCAAGCGTCTTTTAAGTCAAACGTGTCAGTTAAACGCTTATTAAGCTATTACTGCGGAAATAAATAAATAAATAAATAATAAAAACCTGGAATATGCGTTATTTAAATGACTTTATATTAGTCAATTAGAACTCGTCAGTTAGTAGCGATATAGTCTTCGTTAGAAATCTTTAATATTTGAAAAAATACATCTTATGCCATTAATCAATGATAATGTCGTGACCTTCGGAATTATCAGGCTCTCGTTTGTTTTTATACATATTACATAAGCGTTGCTGCTCACCTTGCTTTATGACTTATCATTATATACGGAAAGTAACGAATAGAGCCGACTTTTTACGAATCATCGACTGGGGGAGCACCTTTACACACAAACATACTGTTGGTATTTTAAACACGAGACAAGTTAGCTTTTTCACATGGGGGGGAATACATCGTGTGTTTGAACAATACATGCGTGTGCCCTTTGATAGGGACCTACGTTAAAGGACCCATTTTCATATATAAAAGGTTTCGTCCTTTTATTCGATCTTCTGTAAAGTGAAATGTTCGTCTGAGAAAGCTGTGAAAGAAATGGTTGTAATGTTAAACAAATAAATAAATAAAAACAAACGAAGAAAATAAAATAGCCAGTCAAAGAATGAAATATTTAGACTTATAAAATTATTATAATAAAGAAAAACAAACAAATATATTGTGGCAGGATGGTTTGAATGTACAACTCTATAATATATGGTCCTGTAAGAAAATATTGAATTAATGTTTTGCATATGTAACTGAACTTCTGTTCCAGGTTATAAGCAAAGATACAGAATATTTTATGTAGTAACTGTGTTCATTTTTTTTTAATTTAAATGACATGTGTAAATGCACGCAATATAATAGTACGTACTCAAGCGTTTGGATGAAATACGTTTCAATCAAACGCTTACAAATCCTTCATCAATATACATCATTTTCCAACTGCCAAAGACGCGAGCAGTGTCCCACATTTGCTACCATACTTTAATTTAAAAGTCATTTACTACAGGTCCTCGACACTAAAAGGTCTTCTTAAACAAATATAACGGGAAACAGATCGCATTTGAATTAAAGTCTTAATTTTTAATACGTTGTGACTTAAACGCGTTCAGTTAAAACATTATTATATATAAAAAAATGTGGGTCAACTTGTTTTTTAAAGTACTGAATAACTTATACTGTGTGAATAACTTTTATACTGTGTATTACATTTTTTAAATTATGATGATGTAAAATATTTTCTTTTTTTCTGTTTTCTTTTTTTTCTTCTTTTTAATTTTTTAAGAATCTTGAGAGTAAAATATTCCTATATAAATTATTTATTAGTAGCTGAAAAGCGTTTAAAATGGCTTAACATTGATTAAATTTATTCAAGATATATTTGCTTGTAGTCATTTAGTTATTTATTTTATAAGGTTAAATGTACTTAAAATGATTATATAAAACGATCATGTACTTAAGTCCACGTTTTTGAGAGAGGGCAAAAATTAGTACAATTTATAATATGAAATTGTCAGATCGTGAGAGCAAATTGTTAATATTTTCGCGTTTATAGGATATTTGCACTTTTCGTCGGTTCAAAATTATTGCATAAATTTGTCTAACGGAGTACAAAATTCAAATAAATTTGCGTTTTAAGTGAATGTTCGGGGAATACAGTTGTATTTCTATTACTGTAATTCTGGATGGTTATTTAAGATTGTTCGTTCGAGAGATAACAAGTTTTAATATTTTCATGGTTTGATGACATTACTGCAATTCCAAATAATTATCTTAGATTGTTAGTCCGCGAGACACTAAGTTTTAGTATTTTAACGTTTGGAAGGCATTACTGCAATTTTAGATTTTCCGTTCGTTCGCGAGACAGAAAATGATACTATTTACTCGCTTAGAGGACGATACTTTAGTTCTAAATACTCATCTTAGATGGTTCGCTCGTTTTAATATTTCCACGTTAAGATGGCATTTCCGTGATTCTAGAGAATTATTAAAGATTGTTCTTTCACATCAGCTTCCAAAAACAACAATGATAATGGTGAAACAACAATTTAACATAAAACAACAATAATCAGCAACATCGTTTCTATTATCAACAATAAAATGAACGTAAATCAATTTAAACCTCTTTATAGGATTGGAAGTTCGTCGGACTTTGTCTAACGTTATTTTAGGCCTAATTTCTGTCTTGTGTCAAACTGCACATTTCGCACCCTTCCTCACATATAGAACGCCTTACTCGTAAAATATCATTTCAATTCATTTGCTGAATCATTGATATCGCGCATCTTGCAAAAATAATTCATCGGGAAAACAATAGAAACTAGCAAGACATTATCAACAATACTGAGTTCTTCATTATCATTATTTATAATAAAACACAAGTTATAAAAGTGTATAATAAGCACTTACTTTGCATCCAAGGGTGGGGGGTTTTCTGCCTTTTTAAGTGACATACGAACGGACCTCGCAAGTTTTTTACTGCCATTTCCAGATGACGTCACGCCGTTTAATGGCGCGGATTGTGTATAATGTGCAGGGGTCTGTAAAACAAAACAACAAAAAAGTGAATGTTTGTTCGGCGGAAAGAACAAAGATTTCTCTAAAATTAAGACATATTTATTGAGTCAGCTTTGACACACATTTGCAGATACATTAAAGGCCCATAAGTCATTACCAGATGACGTTACACCAATACTGGTGCTGATTGACTGTACTTTGCCGGTGTCTGTGAAACAAAAAAGAAAACCTGAATGTTTGGTCAGCGGAGAGAAACGGGATTTCTCTAAATTTAAGACATATTGAGTCATTTTTGAGACACTTTTGCTGATACATTAAAGGCCCATTAGGCCTATAATTTTCATTTCCCAAAACATTAAATTTTTGATACAATTTCTAAGTTTCCGAAAATGTATTCATTTGCCATTTGTACATAAACTATATGAGCCGTGTCATGACAAAACCAACATAATGGGTTTGCGACCAGCATGGATCCAGACCAGCCTGCGCATCCGCGCAGTCTGATAAAGGATCCATGCTGTTCGCTTATCAACTCTATTACAAGTAGAGAAACTGATAGCGAACAGCATGGATCCTGATCAGACTGCGCGTGCGCAGGCTGATCTGGATCCATGCTGGTCGCAAACCAATTATGTTGGTTTTGTCGTGACGCGGCTCATATTTTGGTCATTTTGCTCTGTATGCACTCGGTATATTAAGTGAATTAGTATTTTGCACTTTACATGTAAAGTTTTTTTTTGGGTTGGGGAAAAAAAATGTATTTTTTTCTTTTCCCACAAAAAAGCAAAAAACCCAAATTGAAAATAGTTTTGTTGTTTTGGGTTTGGTTAAAGGGTTCCCCCCCCCCCGTTTTAAAAACCGGTACGGTGGGTGGGGGTTTATTTTTTTGCAGTGGCAATGTAAAAATATGAGAATATGGAGGATCGGGGAGTGGTGGGGAATGGGGTGGTCACAAAACAACAAGAACCAAAAAAAAAAAAAAAAAACAAAAAAGAATGTAAAAAAAAACAAAAAAAAGAAGAAAAAAAAAAACAACAAGAAAAACAAGCAAGAAAAATAAAGAAAAAACAAAAAATAAGGGCATTGAAAAAAAAAAAACAGAGAGAAAAAAAAAAAAAAAAAAAAAAAAAAGAAGAAAAAAAAAAAAAAAAAATGAAAAGAAAAATAAAAAACAAAAAGAACCTAGTAATAAAAAAAAAAAGAAAAAAAAAGAAAGCATAAAAAAAAGAAGATTGGAAAAATAGAAAATAAAAACAAAAAAAAAAAAAAAAAACAAAAAAATAAAAAATATAAACATAAAAAAATTATAAAGACTAAAATAAGAATCTAAAAATATAAAAAGAGAAACAACAAGAGTGAATAAAAAAAAAAGAAAAATAACAAATATAAAAATAACAATCAAGAAAAAAAAAATAAAAAAAAAAAAAATAAAGAAAACAAAACAAAGAAAAAAAAAAAAAAATAAAAGAGAAAACAAAAAAAAAAAAGAAAAAAAAACAAAACGAAAAAATAAAAAAAAAAAAACAGGCAAAACACAAAAAAAAAAAATACAAACAAAAATAGACAAAACACCACAACAAAAACAAAAGAAAATAAGAAACCAAAGTAAAACAACAAAAAAAAAAGAAAACAAAAAACCTATCATAAAAGAAAACAAATAAAAATAAAAAAAGAAAAAAGATAAACAATACTGAAACATAATAAAAAAAAAAAAGAAAAAGAAAAACTATAAAAAAAAAAAATACAAAAAATACAAACGGGGGTTTAATCAAGAGTAAAGAAGGGAAAAAAGAAGAAAGCACACAAATCAATAGGTAAGAGAACAAACAAAGAAAAACAATAGAGAAAGGAAACCAGCCATAAAAGGGGGAAAAGACAAGGAACCAAGAAACCGAGAGAGAAAAACCAAGGAAATCAAGAAATGAAGGAAAATAAAGCAGGAAAACACCCCGAAAAGAGGATGACAAAGAAAACGCCCGAGCACAAGTAAAATCAAAGAATAAAAACAAACACCCAGAAAAAAACGAAAATCGGGAAAGAATGGATACGAAGAGATAAGGAAAATAAAGCAGGAGAGAAGAAACCCAAAAAGCTGTAATAAAGAAAAATACAAGAAATGAAATAAGAAAAAAACCGAACAAAATCGTAAATTAAAAAAACAAAAAAAGAAGAAAAAAAAACCAAATAAAAACAAAACAAAATATAGAATAAAAAAAATAAACAGAATAAAAAAAAAAAGAAAAAAAACAACAAATCAAATAAAAAAAAAATTTTAAAAAAAAAAACAAATAATAAAAACAAAATAATAAGCAAAAAAAAAAAAAAAACCCACAAAAAAACAAAAAAAAAAACACAAGACAAGAAATACAACAAAAAAAAAAGAGAAACACAAAAAAAAGAAGGAAAAATAAGAAACAAACAAAATAAAATAAAAACAAAAAATGAAATAAAAAACGAAAGAAAACAAAAAACAAAAAAACATTAAAAAAAAACACAGAGAAAGAAACAAAGATGAAAAATAAAAAAACAAAAAGAACAGAAAACAGAAACAAAACAACTACACTAAGAAAAAAATAAGAAAATAAAAAAAAAAAAACAAAAAACAAATAAGAAAATAACTATTCAAAAACAGGAATAAGATAAAACTGAAACCCACAAAATAAAAAAATTCGCAGGGATTGATAGATTAACAAGTAGACAAAAGAAATAACACCAAAAACAAAAATAATAAGAAAACCAACAAAAAATTCAAAAAACAAAAGATAAATACAGAAAAAAAAAATAGACAATGTTATAAAAAAATTGTAAAAAAAGGTAATAAAAAGTGCAAAAACAACAAAGCAAATCAAAAACAAATAAAAATGAAAAAAAAAAAACAGAATAAATAAAAAAAAAAAAATTCAGCAGAGTAAAAAAAAAAAACAAATAAACAACTAAGAAAAATAGAGATAAAAACGTGTAAAAAAAATATTGAAGAAAGAGAAGTAATAAAAGAAAAAAAAAATAAGAGAAAAATACCAAAGCAGATAGAAAAAGAAAAAGTGACCAAAAGAGATAAAAATAAAAGAAAAACGAAGATAAAAAAAAAAAAAAAAAAAAACGATGAAACCACGACCAAAGAAATAAAAGTAAACAAAAAAAAAAACAAAGATAAGAAAAACAATAGAAAAAAGATAACAACCAAGAAAATAACACTATGAATAAGAAATCAAAAAAACCAAACTAACGCAACACAAAAAGATAAATGTTACCGAAGAGTGAACAGAAAAAAAAAAACCGTAACAGAAATGTACAATAAACTCCAAGATAACAAAAACAAAAAAAATGGACTGATACCAAGAAAACAACATAATCAAAGAGATATAAAAGAGGAAAAACCAAACAAAAAAACACAAAAGATTGATCTAATAAGTTGTAAATTAAGAAGATAAAAACAAAGAAATCAGAAAGTAGAAAAAAAAAAAATGAAACCGAAAAAGTACAAGATGACACAACAATAAAAAAAACAACAAAAACAAAAAAAAAAAGAAAAAGAAAACAAAAAAGACAAAAACATAAAAATCAGTAAAACACAGCAAAAACATGAGTCCAAAAAAATCAAAAAAAAAAAATAATGGAAAGAAACAATAAAAAACTACAGATAAAAGAAGAAAAGAAACAACACATAAAAAAGCAAAACAACCAACACAACAAATAAAAACAAACAAAGGATCAGAACCAAACAGTAGAGCAAAAAAACAAAAAAAGGTAACAATAGAAAACTAAAAAAAAAACAAAGAGAATACAAAAAATCGAAAAATAAATACATCGAATAAACAGAACAGAAAAAAACAATGCTAAGACTTGCAAAAAGAAAAAAAGTAAACAAAACCAAAAACAATAGAAAAAAAAAAACAATAAAAAAGACAGAAAAGAAATAAACCAAACAACAGAAACAGACAAAACACCTCCAAAAAAGCTACGACCAAAAAAAACAAAACATATGAGAAAAAAAAAATAAAAATAAGTATAAGCTACGAAATAAACCAAAAACAGAAATGCAAGCAAGACAATAAAAAGACCCAACAAAAACAAAACAAATAACCACCAGGAAGAAGTGAAAAAAGAAAAAAAACATGTTCTGCAAACAGTCCTTATAGACAAAAAAAAAAAAAACCGCAATTAACAAAAAAATAGTGAAAACAACAAAAAGATTAAACCAGCGAATATAAAATAAAACAGAAAAAAACCGAACCACAAAAGAGAAAAGAAAAAATGCAAATAGAGTTAAGATAACGAATAAAGAAAAATCAAAATAAAAGCAAAAAAGAACATAACGCACAAAAAAAAACATGAAACAACAAAACAGTAAAAAAAAAAAAGAAGTAAAACACGAAATGATATAAAACTATACAAAATAAAATAAAAAAAAAGAAAAAAGGACAAGAAAAGAAAAAAAAAAAAAAATAATAAAAAAACAACCGAATAAAATTGTAAACCCAAAAGAGAAGAAAAAGAAACAAAAAACTAACAAAAAAGAAAAAAGTAAGGAATGAAAAAGAGTAACTCAAACAACACTGGCCGTAAAAAAATCGAAAAAAAGTCAACAAAAAAATAGGACAAGAATAAGCAACAAAATTATAAAATATTAAATAAAAGTATTTCCTGTAACATATATATTCTAATTTCAATTTAAGTGTGGTATGCAACCTCAATTACAACATACAGGATCTTTAAATTAAGGAGTACATGTATATAAGTGAATACAGTAAATCAGTTACCCTTAAACCAAACCGTTAATAAGTTGAGTTCAAACATTTAAGTATTTAAATCTTACAAAGTACCTTTTTAATCTCGCCCTCGTCTTGGATGTTTATTTTCACATCTTCAGTGCTACTTTGTACAGTGTTTTCGTAATCGCCTTTTCCGTCTATGGATACATTGTATGTATTTCTTTTCGCATTGTTGTTACTTTGATCAAACTGGTTGATAGAAAAAAGATGTTGACACATAACTATAATAAGGTAAGACGCTTCATTTTGCGATGTTTTGAATATTTAGCAAAATTGTTCGATACAAATAGCGACCACATCTCACTTTGACCTTGTCAAGATAACTGACTATGAGTACATGAATTGGATGTTATGCCCCGGATCGGCGATCGATGTATATTCTATATGAAAACGGGTTCATTTCCATAATAATTGAAAATTGTGTATGATATTTGCCTTTGGAAAATGCTTAGTACCTACGTCTAAAACGTACTCACTTAAATATACACGTATCATAAAAAAAATTGTACAATGAAAGAAAAAATAGACGTATTTATTTGTAGGCACAACTTTTATAATATTCTCCTCAATATATTTTTGTTAATATATAGATTTTATGACCTGTTGTATGACCAAATATAAACCACTGTCACCTTATATGACCTGAATTTTTAAATGAGTGTTATGCTGTGTAACACCGCACTTTGGGGTCAAACGCACTTTGGGGTCGAACCCAAAAGTGCGTTACGCACTTTGGGGTCGGACCCCATAGTGCGTTACGTGCACTTGGGTTGCGCAACTTTGACGGCGCCATAAATGCCGTTAAAAACAGGTACATAGTATGCATTTTTTCAACAATCAGGCAAACGACCGCACTTTGGGGTCAAGAGAAAATTTATGTTCATTATGTTTTAAATAGATATAGTGTAGTGCAAAGCCAATGGTAAAGCAAAAATCAAGGTATTAAATAGACACAAAACATGTGCCATGAATCAATAGGGTCTTGATTAGTAAGTGGAAGAACTTTCACAAAATAAATCACCAAAAAAAGAATTTGTATCAATGGCAGCACGACCTCCTAGATTCACGCTATTTTCCATCATGAAGAATTTGTGGAAAATTATTTGAATGTATAATATTGTGGAATAAAGCGCAAAAGGAAGCAATTTGCACATTATCAATGGCAACTTATAACTTACGTAAATTACGCAAAAGTTTGTGCAAAATATGCAATAAATAGCCCTTAATGCGTTAGTAAGCGCAGTAGGAAATATAGTTTGTAAATATTGAAAACTCGGGGTTGGGGGGGGGTGAGTCATTGAACCGCACATAACAATGTATAATATTACTATGAATCTTTTGAATTCATTTTACATTATCCATAATCGTAGTAACGTATTTCTGCAAGTTTGATTTTATTGAAATATTGTTTGACTCATTCTGGAGGCATGCAGCTTTAAGCTTAAAATATGTTTTTCTAAAATTTTCCATTTATTTTAAAAGAATGTACACCTTTCATTAACTCCATTGTTTTTAGCTAAATGCATCATTTTCCCGTTTGTTATTTACACATTTTACAGAAATATGATAGTCTTAGCATAGACAAAGGTATAAATTCAACTATTTAAGTAGTCGCACATTAAGAGCGAGCTTCAGAATAATGTAAAATTTTCACTGGGGGTATAGAGGGGATTGTGGGGTATCGATCTCCCCGAGGTTTAAAATGACATTTTAAAGGCCCATTATGCTTTTATTTGTTTTTGTTCAGCTTTTTTATTTTGATGTTCTTTTATATTATCAAAAAAATACACATTGGCCAATAACCTGAACCATCTTTTTCATCTGTTGCTTTTTGACAATGATGAGTACAGTACTGTTATAGTGATAAGTAGTTTACATGTTTTATATGGAAGTCAAATACTACATTGTTTTGACTACTTTTATGACAAATAATTTCACAATTTATCGCTACTTTATTCAGGTAACAAGCATCTTATATTTCTGATACCATTATTTTAACATTTATAAAATTCATCTTTCTAAAGAAGTATGTAAGATTTCCCATTAAAAAAGCATCTGGCGAACGGTTGTTACGGAGGGGAAAAAAATATTAACTGCATTTTATTTCATTCCTTACATATAAATGGAGCTCAACATGGCACCAAAAGTTATCAAGTAAATGACTGACAGAACGGGATATTTTTCGCAGCATCTTTAAACTTTAGGAATACACGATTTCTGTACTAAAATATTTTGAACGGTGGCAAAAAAGTGACATTTGCAACTCTTTTTTTTGTTTTTGATACTTTTTTTTTTTTTTTCGTACATATTTTGTTTTTGTTTTTTTTTTTTGTTTGTCATACATTTTTATTTTAGTTTTGAATACATACTTTTTTTTAGTTTTGCATACATATTCTTTTTAAGTTTTTCATACATATTCTTTTTAATATTTTATTTTAGTTTTGCATACATATTTTATTTGAGTTTTTGGTACATATTTTATTTTTGTTTTGTTTTTTACTTTTTTTCGTACATAATTTTACATGACGCCATTTGCAAAGTAGAGGTTTGGATAATTACGCCATTTGTAAAACACCATTTACAAACACTTCGCCATCTGTAAATTACAGTACCCCCATTTGCAAACGCCATTTGCAAATACCAACATTTTAATTTTTGGAGTTATCAAAAAGATAATAACACTTTTTAGTATATATATATATATATATATTATATATATATATATATATATATATATATATATATATATATATATACAGAGACATAGATAGTATCTATGTCTCTGATATATACATGTACATGTATATACATGTATTTATATATATATTTTTTTTTTCTAAATCAGTGGAATATAAGGACCTCTTTAGATCTTTTATTGTGCATTATTGAAATACACCAGTCATTTGTAACCACCTCCCTTGCCCCGGGGGAGTGCGGGTTAAAAAAAGAATCGTGTGATGTCTGCGCTGTTCCGGGGGTATAAGGCAGGAATGTTATTATCTGAATATCCCCCGCAGGGCGAAGATTTTACAATGGTCGGCTTGGTTTAAAGTCAATGCCCCTCCCCCTGCTATACTCAGGGGGTGGGGTTGAGTGGTGCATATTCATTCACCAATCAACAGCCCTTTCCAAATAGACACTAATATAATAATTTTAAAAAAATACACTAATTATATAAAATACATATGATTTAAAAAATGGGCCGAAAAAGGTCGGCCGAAACCAGACTTGCGCGGCCAAAAACGACTGGGCCGATTCCAAAAAATGGGCCGAAATGTGACCAAACTACTAGCTGTGCTAGTTTTATACTCGACTATGGGTTGTTATGAGATGTGAAGGCTGTTTTGATTGGCTAAAATATGTACGAAAAAACAAAATAAAAATGTACGAAAAACTTTAATAAAATATGAATGCAAAGCTCAAAAAAAAAAAAATATGAATGCAAAACTGAAAAAAATATGTATGCAAAACTTAAATAAAAATATGTATGCAAAACTTAGATAAAAATAAATGCAAATGTCACTTTTATGCCACCGTAATTTTGTTATATGTACAAATTATTATTATTATTGGATATTTTAAGTGGTAAAATTGATGAAACTTTTATCACTTAAGCATCATCAAAGTATTGACCGCCATCTTGAACTCCACCTCAAATATTTCAATGTCGAAGATCGAAAATAAGTTAGTTCTCAGTATTTAAGCAGAATTCAGATTACACCTTTAGACTTCTGGAACCCAAAGTGCGTTGATATGTAGCATATTAACGCACTTTGGGGTCAATTTCTCGATTTTGACCCCAAAGTGCGTTTGACCCCAAAGTGCGGTGCGAAGTTTAACGCACTTTGGGGTCGGACCCCAAAGTGCGTTTGACCCCAAAGTGCGGTGTTACAATGCTGCATAACAACAGTTTATACCCAACAATATAACCGGTAAAAATCCTTAAAAACGAATAAGTGCAATACAACATGATGCCTTTCTACGAATATTTGACAAAAAATAAAAGGAACGATGAAAGATACTTCTAAAATGTATGCTAGCTGTGCATTAAGGTTTTAAATTAACATTACGAATGACCAATGAAAATAAAGGTTACATACGTGTAGTATTATTAAGGAATCTTAAAGTAGTAAAAAATAGTACCTCGCTTTCATGTAAGCCAGTGTATTTATGTTCAGGTATAAATATCCGTGTGTCTTTTGTATCTATGATTTCGCTATCCCTTTGACTCCTTTTCAAAATATCTGAAACTGTTTCTTTCACTTCGTGATCATGTTCACCATCTATAACTAATGTTACATTTCCCTTTGCGGTCTCGTCATCATCTCTCCCGCCAAATCGTGTAATTTGAATATCTGGTTCCTCTTTGCTTTGCGTGTCAACTTCGTTCATGTCAAAACCCGGGTTCAACTCGCCGTTACCGAGTGCTTCGGACATTTTCGAAGCTTTATTTGTATGTAAAGATTCTGCTCTGTATACTTGAGATACTTGAGATGAACTTTCAATGTGAGAAGATTTTAATTGGTTGAAATTTACATCACGTGACTGACTTTGCTGTTCCTGTGTTAGCCTAAAAGCAAAAATAAAAATAAGATAAGAAACCGAATAGGCTCATACTTTAAATAAAACTTAAAACGACCTTTAAAATAATTGATTCTTAAAGCACCATGCGTCCAGAGTCGTGCTAATTTTCATGAAAATTTCGAAAATGTATTTAAAAGTTAAATATTGTAAAGTGAACAATCAAAGTAACAAGCTGCACAAACAATCCAAATAAAGTACCAAAAATGGTGTCAAAATATGCAAAAGAAATAGGCCTGACTGCGTTAATAACGCAGTAGACATGTGACATAAATAATGCAAAAGCAGTCACGAATCGCATAAATTATTTTTTGAATCTTGATTTTTTTACTGTCCATATGTTTCTCAAGTTTAATTTTCTTGAAATATTTTGACTCATCTGGAGGTATGCAACTTTAAAGGAGGAGTTAAATATGCATTCTTTTTGAACAGCATTAAACGTGTTGCTGAAATTTTACCATAAAAGACAACAGAAAGTGACAAACAATCTTAAAACGGAGTCTCCATTTAAAATGTACCACGCTGAATATCTTACAAGTAGACTGTGGCACCGTTATATGCCGCTAAATGCCACGTTATTGTCCCTAAATATCGCAACCACCGCTAAATGTCACAACTGCCGCTAAATGTCACAACTGCCGCTAAATGCCACGTTATTGTCCCTAAATATCGCAACCGCCGCTAAATGTCACAACTGCCGCTAAATGTCACAACTGCCGCTAAACATCGCAGGCCTCTCTCTAAATGTCTGAGAATATTTTTCCGTTAAATGTCACACCATTTTCCTTCATCGTTAAATGTCAAAAATTTAGCAATACGTATTATGTCAGTTATGTAAGTGATCTGCGGACAAGCTTTCTTTCAGTAAGGAAAGTATTTGCTGTGATGTACGAAAAAATTGGTTGTAAATAAAGTGATATAAGTCGGTTTAATAATTTGACGACCATGATTTATGGCAAAGAGCCCCTTGGTGATAAAACACATTTGTATACGTTTCTATAATACATCAGCTTGAGATGGGTCTAACTCGCCGAGACGTTTATTCTATAAAAATTCAATTAAAATCCAATCTCAGATCAGAAAGTTTATATTTTGTGTCAGCCTGTCACCTACAAGCAGAGTTGCCTGTGTTTATTATCACTGTCGTTGCTTGGTGTCTGCACCGTTGTCGACATTGTAAAAATAAAATAATTCGTTAATATAAAGACGATGAAAAAAAAATGTTGTAAATTCAAAATGTTCCAATAAATTATATATGATCTTTTAAAAATATCATAGTAGCCAACTCAAAAGGACGCAAACTGTTAACCCGCTTGGTTTGCTTACTATTGTTATATATAAATTATTTCAATATATATCTATGAAAATTAGCCACCTTATTAACAACAATAAGGAAAGTGCATATTTTCAGTCTGTCCTTTATATAAAGGGCGGACAACTCTTTGTCCCTTTCTCGTATGAGAAAAGGAATCCTGTTAAGCGTGTATGTGGTCGCACGGTCATTTTCCTTACAACTTGTCCTCGAAGCATGTGGTTGCATGGTCAAAAATGGCGATGTTTTCATTTGTTTTGTTGCAAAATCTTAAAATTTTAAGAAAACTGCTTAACTCGTTATAAGGAGTTTAAAATGCCTTACATATAGACTTAAAGATATTTTAAGGAGTTAATAAACAGAATCTATGGACATTCAAAGTGTCGAATTTGCAAAGCCTAAATATAAAATAAAAACCAAATTTCTACTTTGTAACTTCTATAAAAGTTTAATACAAAAAAAAAAAATATTCTCTTTAGTTTTTTAAATTTTCTCTTAAGACATGCAAAGTTTTTTAGTTTTACTGGTGGGAAGACCTCTGGTGCCTTTCCGTGCATTATTTCGGGCACAAAAGGGCACCTGAGTAGGACCACTGGCGTTCTACAGCTAGCTGGATAGTTTCCTCACATAATACACTCAAAATTCCCTGTCGTGACTCGAACCCACAGCAGTTAGGTGTGAGTGGTTTGAAGCCAACGACTTTAGGCACTCGCCCAGGCATGATCCCAGAGTAGTTTTAGTTTAAGTACAATCATGCAGCTATTAACCTAGCAGTATATTAGAATAACGGTTCAGATAAAATTTTCCAAAAATGATAATTTCAAAATAAATAACAAAATGAGCGTGTATTATATATAAAATATGTTTTTTACTTTACTTACTTTTCATGATACAGTCTTTCATGTTGTGATAATCCAATAGCCTTTAAAAAAAATCCTTAAGATAAAAAGAGTATTTAAGCCACAAGTAAAGAATTTAGTTCATGATATGAACTAAAAATAAAAATTAAAAAATCCTGATCTTGTGCACATGTCAATATATTTTCAAAAGATTTACTTATATAATGGACTATTTTAGCCAGTTGCGTGGGTGGAATTTACTTTTTTCATTAAAAGATTTCCAATTAAACAATAATCGGGGCGTCACGGTCCGTTCTATTTTTAGTGCAAGCTTAAGTTTTTAACACCCGATTAAAGATATTGATAACACGGTACGGAAACAAATCGCCTTAACCCTTTACTTCATATAGACGTGTTTTGACGGCTTTTCGACCCCCCCCTTTTTGAGGTCTCAGACAGTGAAAAATTACCCTATTTAAGCCAAAAACACTGTTTTTCGTTTGGGAATTGGTGCTAAAAAATATAAATATAAAATTTAAAAACAACTTCTAAAAAGGTTTTTATACAAATAAGTATTTTTATTCTCCGAAGGGTTTTAAACTTTGGTTTAGACATGCAAAGTCCTTTTTACTTTTTAAATATCAAAACGTCACAGGAACGTTATAAAGCGACTTTTCAACACAGTATAGGACATATAGCGACTTTCCATCTTCACCAGTGAGAACCCCTCGTGATCCAAGCATTATTTAAGGCAAGAACGGGCACCTGTGTAGAATCACTGACGTTCTTAAAGCTAGCTGGATGGTTTCCTCACATAAAATACTCAAAAGTCCCTTTCGTGACTCGAACCCACAACAGTAAGGGGTAAATGGTTTTAAAGTCAATGACCTTAGGCTTTCGCCCAAGCATCACCTCAGAGGAGTTAATTTAATAAGAACAATCACCTAGTAGTACGGTGTTCCGTTTGGACAATCCTGACTTTTTATTTAGACTGTACCTGCGATGCACGATGGTACGATGATGAAAGCGCGATTGCACGATGGTAAAAATGTGAAGGCACGATGGTGAAAACGCGATAGTAAGATGGTGAAAGCGCGATGGTACGATTTTCACCATCGTACCGTACAGACTAAATAAAAAGTCACGATTGTCCACACAGAACACCGTATAGTAGTGTATTAGAATCAGATCAAATTTGCAAAAGAATAATTTTA